TGACTTGATACTCTGGAGAAGCCATCCTACACACCGCTTCTATATTATATAGAATTGTGAAAGTGTTATAAGTAACATTAAGTGTATCACCCTCTCGAATACCCTGATCCAGGAGTGTCTGGGCTATTGCCTGTAGCATCACTTGATGTTTAAACTCCCACTGAACGCTTATATTATATATCTCTCCATTGAAGTTATCTACCAAGTGATGAATCAACAATTCAGCTCAACATTTAACCAAATACTTACCTTCTCCAAATATTAGGATATATACCTGTTCTTTAAGCCAATTTCCAAATGCTTCAGAAGAGAGATTGAGATCAATCAGCATTATAATGGTCCTTGGTGAAACTGGTGGTGTGTCAATTGAAATCATCTGAATGTCTTCCTGAAAATCCGGAGGCCAGGAAACGATCAGGGATACAGGTGTTTTAGTCAATGACACCAAGGCATTCTCCGGAATGTTATACGATTCCAACAGTTGTGCATTTTCAAGTGGCTGACCATTCATTTCCAGCCTTTGAGATGCTGTAGCATAAATACTTGTAGTGAGCTACATACTTGATAAAAACACTTGTAGTCTTCTCACCTGCAGGATGGCCTTCCGCCTCTTCTATGACATTTTTCAAATCCCAAACTGTGTCGTTGGGTGAGAAAGCATACGTCGTGTATACGTCTTCATTACGAAAACTATTAAGGAAAATGTTGACCATTGCTGGAGCCCTGTTATCAACCGAGGGAAGGATTTTTCGAAAGGGTAGAAGATCAGTAATTTAAGTACGTGTCCGGATTGCATCCGACTCATATGAATCTAGTCAAATCTGGATAGACGGTTCCGAGGTTACTATCACGGATACTATGTAGTGGGTGCGTTTCCATCTCATGTAACCAGAAGCAGAATTCTGAGGCATTTGTCGTTGGAACTTGGAAAAAGTTCCGCTCCTGATTCCAACTTTTCGTGATAGAATGTTACAAGGTAGCCATCATGATTTTCGACGAGCAAGGCTCGACAATAGCATCCGAGGTACTTTCTATTTGAAATCGAGTAGACCAGAATAGACCAGAATAGACGACTCGAATCAGTCGCCCAAGTGACCCGCTGTGTCGCATCGTTTAATGAATCAAAGCGCCAGGTCCATCTAGTATTCCTGAGGGCGTTACCAAGTATCTCACAAGCACAAACAGGGAAATAGCGCATAGAATTCAGTAGTACCAAATCTCTATATATACTTACATTTAAAGGCCAGGTCCACCTAGTATTCCCGAGCAGTATGTACCAAGCACAAACAGGAAATAGGGCATAGAATTCAGTAGTACCAAATCTCTATATACTTACAATTACAAACAAACTACTTCAAAATGATAGTTGTAATTCATTTGTAATATCTGCCATACTGCATACTGCGACGTAAAAAGAACGACTATGAAAAGACGGAAGGGAGACAAGAGTAAAGCTAAAGCTGAACTAGCCAAGTAACTGACTAACTAACTAACTAAAATAAACTACACAAGCCTAAGCCTCAACCTCAGGAGAGGAGACAAAAGTAAGTGAAGTGAGTGAGTGAGTAGGGGGTAATATAATATAAAGTAAAATCGTAGATACAAAATGTTGAATTCCAAATTTCAAATTGGATTAGATTGGAAGAAACGGAAGAGAGCAATGATGATGATGAGTGACGATGAACGATGGGTAACTTAAAGAATAAGTAGATACGTGAAGTAAATTCCACCAAAAAAAGAAAAAAGTGACTATGCAACATGCGCGAGAAAGAAAGGAAGAAAGAAGGAACCAAGATGCAACACGACGAAAACCAAAAGAAAAGAGAGTCCGACGCTCTCCCCAACTCTAAGCTACTGCAAACACAAAAATAGGAAACTACCTCACAGCCCACCCATGCCCATTTACCAAATCAACCTCTGAAACCGACATTGGAACCGCCGCTTTCGAAGGTGTCCTCTTGAGCCCAACCTTCAGATGAGGACTCAACGGAATCGGAGGTAATGGCGAGTTGAGGGCGTATGAAGAGGAAGAAGAGGAGGTAGCAGTCTTGGGTGTTACAGGCGCAGACGTAACCGGTGTCCTCGTAGACGAAGAAGATGCGTACAAAGAAGGCGTCGCCAGCGGAGGCGATATCGGTGAAGCAAAAGTGCTGATAGGTGAAGTAGGAAACTGTGCTCCAGTTTCAACTCGTAACCCTCCTCCTCCTCGGTCCTTGACACGCTGATTCTCCTTCTGTCTATATACATACGCAGGAGGCGGCAGCTCCACACCCAGAGGCTCGTTCTCAAACGAAGGTAAAGCAAACGCATAAGTCGTATACTGCGACTCGGACGTTATCCCACTAGCATTGGTGAATACAGAAGGTGCCGTTGGGCTTAGAGGTTCCTGTAAATGAGCCTCATCGACACCGTTAACCTTGGCTTTACTCGGCAACGCAAGCGGCCTTGTCCCTTGTTGATGTTCATACCCATGTCCAACACTCGACCCTCCAGCACCACCATGCCCCAAATCCGACCCCCACCCAACCTCTCCCCTCCTATACCTCTCAATCTCCTCTCTCAACCTCGCCTCCCTTGCTATCGAACTCGCCTGTAACGAATGCGCATCTGAATGACCACCTTGTGAGAACGCGTCGGGTTCTTCTGTGTATCCTTCTGAAGTGCCTATATCCGTCCATGCACCACCACCACCACCACTACTACTACCTAGAGGCGAATGAGGATCATCGCTTTCTGCATAACCATAGTTGTAAGGAGCACCAGATCCAGGTGAGCCGGGGATAATCCCTCCTGCCAACACCCCTCCTTGAGTCCCAGCGTATCCATAAGGCACATTCGAATGCATAACCCCACCACCTAAATGCCCATACCGCGAATTTCTCTCTCTTTGGAGTTGTAAAAGCGTATTCGCAGGACGAGGTCTGGCTCGGGGAATCTCTGCTGGGTCGATTTCGCGGACTCCAGAGGGTTCGTAGGTGTCAGAGTTGGGGTTGTAGGGGTCTGAGATGGAGTAGATGGATGTTGCGGAGCTGTTTAAGACGCGCAGAGAGAAGAACAAAAAGCAGTTAGCATCTCAATAAAAATATTTGGAAGAAACAGAACATACCGATTCCCAGCATACAACGAGTACAACGAATTCGCATACACAGACCTACTATTCCCACCTTGCCCATTAGACGTCTTCTTCGGCGGCCTCGGTCTAGCAGGAGGAAGTCCAGCCAGAGGATCAGCAAACGGATTCCCTGCACCACTATGCCCATTCTCCGACGTAGGCGTAGGAGAAGCAAACGGATCCGACCCAGCCCCAGAAGACTCTTCCGAACCTTCAGGTACAGGACCCAACGAGTTTTGCGGTGAAGGAGTAGTATTAGGCACCACCATCGACCCACTCCTACTCCTCCCAGGAAACGTCCCAGCGCCATGACCCAAACTCGAACTAGAATCATTCGCATGACTTTGTCCGAGATTCCCTCTCCTCCTCTTCGGGTCCGAGAATACCCATACGCCGTTTTCTAATCTCGTAGCTACTCTCATGTTTTGTCCTGGAGTATGGACGAATCGAGGGCCTTCGCCGTATCCGTTCGTTCCTCCAGTGTCTATACCATATTCAGCAGTGCTAGGACCGCCGTTTGGACTACTGGGGTGGTGGAGACTGATTTGAGAGGAAGATGTGAGGCCGTAGGTAGGCGAGAGGGAAAACGGCGTGATCTGCGCAGCGAGAGAGTTGGAGTTGAATTTGGACTTTGAGCGGAGGAGGTTTGTAGATGAGGAAGATGCGGAACGGAGGAGGTTGGTTGAGGATGTTGAGGCGGAGCGGAGGAGACCTTTTGCAGAGACGGAGAGGGACTTTTTGAGGTTGGCTCCTCCACCTGAACCTGAGCCAGAGTCAATTGTAAAAGAGTACTTTTCGTCTTCACCGTCCAACTCGGACTTGTCCGGCGACTCGAAACTCTTGGCATTGGTTCCTGGAGCTACGGCGGATATAGGCCTCGTCGGTGTAGGCGTTGTACCCCGCCTGGGCTCGTCAAGTCTCTCCATGTATTTTCTTCTGTCTTTCAGATTCATCTTTTTCGTCCAATAGAGGATTATGCCTATGATGACGAGACCTATAAATCCGAGGACGAGACCTGTGACGAGGAGGTGATGGGCTCTGTGGGCTTCGGATTCGGGGGATAAGGAGGACGAAGAGTCTGAGGTGGCACTCGAAGAAGAGGAAGACGAAGCATCAGCACGAACGACGAGGTCGATGACCTGGCTTGGATGGGGGCGCGAGTGGGAGTGTAAGGAGCGGAAAGAGTGACGAGAATGCATCTTTTTGTTTGAAATGAAAGAGCTGGAAAGGAGTGTGGGTGTTTGAACGAATGAATGCAACCAAAAAGTGTAGAAAAGTCTACAGAGAAGAAAAGGGTCAGTCTATACTTGCAGGTACGGCAAACGAACAACGCACCCTGTCTAGTTTGTATCTCTGCTCTCGTCTTTCTTTCGAGGCACACGTTGTTACAACGCGTCAAAGACCAGCACACACGACGCCCTTCAAGTTGATAACAACAGAAAGAGAACGAATCCAACGGAACAGCGGGAGATGAACAGAAATGTTTTGTGGAAAAAAAGACAGACGTCTCGCCTACAAAACACACACGAGCTTGGGCAAGGATTTCGTTGACTGCTGGCTGGAACGAACGAATTCGAACCTTACGTCAATCCAAATTAGTTGCTTTACGTTACATTCATCATTCACAGGAACCGACTTGCCTCCACTCCAGATACCCTCAAAATCCGTTCCTTTCTTCAACGTTGGCGTCCTTGCCTTGAAACTGAGAGCTTATACAGCACTGGTGACAGGCGGGAACAAGGAGTCAAAACTCGAGACAGGAACCTGGACCTGTGAGAAAAAATTTTGATAGGCGAAAACAAAGCGAGCCAATCAGGACGCGTTCACGCTGCCTCTCGGGTTGACCCGCCGATTGTGCCGTGATCGTTGATCATCCACGAAAAGAGACTCCATCATGGTGTAGTGGCTAACATTATCGCCTCTCATACTGACACAGACGCGATAGCCCAGGGTTCGATTCCCTGTGATGGAATCTGGTCTGATTTCTGTCTTTTGAAATTTCATGAAGGCAGCGGATCTCTATTTCGACAAGTACTTGAGAAATTCTTTTTAAACTAACCCAGGATAGTACTTTTGAGTGACATGTTTCTGCAAACATAAAAGCCAAGATATGCGTGGGTTTGTCCTAAATCAACATCGTGGAAAGCCGTGTTTTCCTTGCTCGGCTTGCTCGGCTTTTTGGCTTGTTAACAAGTCACAATCTAGAAATGTATAGCAAATGTATTGAAAATGTATTGCTTTTCGACTTTCTCGCTAAAAAATTAATAGATCAAATTAGCTTGTGAGAAAAACCCGGTGAGCTGGTCAACTTGTCGCTTGCCTGGCTTTATATGCTTGTACAAGCCGAAACAAGCCGGGCAAGACGGGGTCAATCAAAACTTGAGTAATCACGATGAAGGCAATAATACCTAGTTCTCATAAAAAAATAGATTGGAATATCTGTATTTTCAGAACATTTACAGAACGAATAAGAGAAAATACAATGATATCACAGCATGAAAGGGTTTTACATTGGATGTCAAATATGCATTTCTGTGGTCTATTATACACTGTAAAATTACATGTTTTTTGCCTATACTTCTCTTGTAATTTCACTATATCTATATCCTATTCTGGGCATGCTTGATTCCTTTACAAAAATTACTAAGATTGATCACTCCATCACATAAGAATATATTATTCTAATGTGTTTTTGGCAGGATATCTATGTAATATTTATTACAGCCAAAATAAGATAGAAAAATATTCAAACCAATCTACAGAAAATTCAATCTGGCATAGTCATAGTACGATTGGCAAATCTCTTTTCCACAAAATTATAGAATAGATGTTTTTCTGATTCTTCACTAGACAAGCCATCATGATCACTTATTCCCAACTTCTCCCTCAGCTCAGGATAAGCATTGCACAGTTTTTCCCCTAGCCGATGAAATGAAATCCTAAAGTCTTCTTCATAATCCGGCCCAATAGAGACACCCAAAAGGCCTTGCAGACAATATGATTTATCTTGAGGTCTAGTTGTAGATCTTTCCATGGTCCAACTCAGTCTATCCAATATATCCACATCCCCAATAGATTTTTCCCCAATCAGAACATCACCAGGAATAGTTGTCCTCCAAGTAATATCAACTTGAAGTTCATTCTTATCCCCAATCCGCTTCCAGTCCCTATCAAAGAAGACTAGATTTATGGGTGCAAGCAGTTCCTGCAATGTCCACCCACGTCCAAACCACCTACTGAACCTGAACAGAGGTTCCCCCTCCCATTCTAATTCAGTTTCATAAATATCAGCCAAATATGCATATGTAACTGCTGCATTTTGGTAATATGCATACATACTGGTAATATTTGTCACAACATCATCATGGTTTCCTTGGTCAATACAACACGTATCAACCCAGATGTAGGAGAGACCATCATTGCGTGCTTTTCCACAGGCAGATTGTATCTTTCGATACCCTGATTTTGATTTTGTATTCACCTGCGAGTGTTGAAACTCTTCATAACTGACTTCTTCTCCATCCTTCCATGTATGAGAAAGAATAGCATAAGGTACGATATCCTCTGCACTGAGCTGAACAAGTTGCAGTGTATGTGTATCAATGAGACGGCGGGGACATATGTCTACAGGTGCCAGAAGGGGACTAGTTTGTTTTGTACTCTTAGTGTGACTTGAGACCTGCCTAGGAGGGGATTTTACACGCAACAGGGGAGTTGTGGTACTCTTGGTGTGACTTGGGACCTGCGTAGGAGATTTTACACATGACAAGGGAGCTATTGTACTCTTTGTGTGACTTGGGACCTGCCTAGAAGGAGAAGTGACAGGTTTTACACGATGTGAGGGCCTTCCTGGAGTTCCAGACTTTCCAACTGGATAAGAATGATAACTTGTTGGGAAATATGATAAACAGGACAGGGATAACAGGTGGACTTTGTAAAGATACACACCTTTCAAGTTTTCCCATATCGGAGTAGTGTTGGGTTGAAATCAAGCCTGCAATATCCAAACATCCTTGTTTAAATAATGGGAATCAATAGTAGAGCTGTTCTGAAGCAGTGCTAGGCAGATTTAAAACATCAACCGCGTATAGCTATTACTGATAGACGCCGGGTTTTACAATTAAAATCATGGAAGAAGAGGGCTGTCACTTTGCGCGCCGGCACATACTGCATATCGGCTAGCATTGATTAGGTATAAAAGAAAGATATGACTAAAATTGGCTGACTACTAAGTGGGTCACTAATTAGCTGGGATTACTAAAGGCGATTCTTTTCAGTCGGGCCTCATGATGAATTACTAAGAAGGCTGTAGCATTGAGTATTCGAAACTGCAGATAATTGATACTACAAATCAAAATATTGTGCTAGTAGACTATTCTGATTCCCTATAATATATTTTAAAAAGAAAGATTATAAGGCTTGGTGCATCACAGAGATACAGAATACGGCATACTTGCTCAGAATCTCAAGAAAAGGTGATGGAGTGTAAGAAAAAAGGTAGGTTATTTACTTATTCATTTCTTGCAGGGACCATAAACTTGAAGAAAATTCCGGTTCAAGAAATATGATGCACTATTCATTCCTGGAAAGATGCCAAACAATAATACAAAGGAGAGCCATAAGTTATAAGGCGTCGATGAGCTAAGCGCCCTTAATTCGCCGATGATGCCAGCTTATCCGAAACACTGGAAATATTATGGCACTTATAAGTAGGCGCTTATCACCCTTTGGAGTACCAGTAATTAGTTATCTGCGTATAACTCATATCTTTAAAATTATGGCTTCCCTTTGTTGTGTCATGTTTGACCTCAGTAGATATTAAATATTTAACTGTTTTATTCCTGTTTGAAATCGTTAGCACTCTGAAAAATGAAATTGATATCCTTCTGCATGGCAACAGATGCCCGCCTTTCATCAGGTGTCCCCGGAGCGACAGCGACGGGCAAGCCTTGTATTTAATTATTGGTACTGGGTCGCCTCTACGGAGTTTGAATTTCGTTGATGTGCCGGAAGGGGAGGTGATTCTACTCTGAACGCAGCATGATTTGCATGATTCGGACACTGATTTGGGACCTTGACGAGTCCCCCAATCAGCGCAGAATCGGCCTCAAATCATCTACTCTGAGAGGCCCTATTATTTGACCACAATTTTCTGGTTGATCATCACAGATAATGATAATAATGTTTACTTGTTGTTAGTTTCTGGTTTCTCAAGCAAGCACGAATTCGAACTGTTCACATCTTTATTAACCATCGACACTTGTTGAGGCAGATGATTTTAGTGGATAAATTTATTCAATTAGTTTGATGGACATCTTGTGAGTCAAGTACAAACGTCGCAGGCTTATCAAAGTTTCGATATTTGAAATAGGGAGAATGTAGCTGTTCCGCTATAGCTATACAGCTACTGGGATTTTTGATCTTCCAGCACTTTTAAGAATTCAATGAGTATTTGGCCCTAAAAAATAGAACGCAAGTCCGAATCCATAGTCTCTAGATCAAGTGAACAGTACCGGACTAGCTCTGGAGCCATAGATTCATGACTCACCTTCAAGTGCAGAACCATCGAATAAAAACGGCTCAATCAGAAATGGCGATTCAGTTCCCGGCTTTGCATTCGACTGTTTCCATTCAGGGAGTAAGGCAACCTTGCTCTCGCAGGACTAGAATTATTTTAATTGAACATATCAAGTTCTAGACCGGCCTTGAACCAGGAGTAAGTGGAGCAGTGAGTAACTTGATTAGAATCATCACCGCGTGCACTTCTGAATCAATGGAATGCAATAAACTTTGTGGAGGGACTTTGCATGTGAGCGACTTGGAAGAGTAACTTCGGTGAACATTCAAGGACCGGCAGGTACTGCAGCTTTGAAAGAATGCGTCAACTTCGGAACTTGAACTTAAAACCCACCCTTCACCATATTACCGCACCTTGGATGCCCTCATGATACATGACGATCCACACGGATATGGTATACAGTCATATTGGGAAAAGCCCCTGAGCTAATCAGTTCCGGTGTTTACTTTTCGCGTTCAAAGTCCTAATGAACTTTTTGTGGACCACTGACGCATTGATACTAGTGGTCCAATAAAAAGTGGGCCGACAAAACGAGGCAGTCACCGAGCTGTAACTTGTGAGGTTCTCGGGCCGGATTAAAGTTCTGAGACCATTATCAGCTCAAATGACCTTCCGGGTAGCCATATACACTAGGCTAGGGACAAGTCCTTCGAGTAATAGATTTTTGCTCTTGGGTGGATAATAGTTCATAGTGAGCTAATCATAAGAGTCCTAAGATAGAACTTTCGGACTTTATAACTCTCCCTTTATCCGTGTATGTACTAAATTCGTAATTTGCGCGGTGACTACAGCTCCAATTACCAAATAACCGTCTTTAAACCATATCAGAAGGCAGAACTTTATCTGCTCAGTACCTTTTAAAGCCACTATAGCAGCAAGCTATCGGTCCTTATCCTCATCCCTTCTTCACTCACCGATCATGCTCACTGATTTTAACGTGTCCATTCTAAGTTTGGTCCTCGCGTCTGTCCTCATCTATCTCAGTTATCGTTTCATTCCCACGTTAAGGTTAAGGCTCCCTCTTCCACCAGGCCCCAAGGGACTCCCAATCATTGGATCGTTTCTTGACTTTGAGTCGACAGCCAACAAACCTATTTGGGAGAGATACGCTGATTTAGGAAAGATATACAACTCTGACATAGTACATATCAGCACACTTGGACACCATACAATAGTGCTAAATTCTGCGGATGCCACGAACGAGCTATTGGAAAAGAGATCTGGGACTTACTCCGACAGACCTCGTAAGTTTTCGAATCTTTCGGACCGCTTCTTTTAGTCAAAGACTCTGTTGTTATATATATGATTACATACTACTTTAGCACGTGATCTTCGTCGACGTATACACGTCGTCTTATCTTTTCTCCTCCTCATCCTTTCACGCTCTCCGTGTC